CTATGACTCTCACAAAGAGACACACAGTGCCGTTCCTGTAGAGCAGCCGCCAAGCGCGACAAAGGCGTGTTAAGGCGTCGAGCATGCCGTCAGGTAGACCCGCAGTGTGTGTCTGATGTCGCGGCCCGCGCCATGCGGCAGCCGCCTGCTGCGGCCCGGCCATGTTCGGCCTCAAGCCGGATGTCACCGGACCCGCCGATCAGCACCGCGACAAATGACGTCACGTGGATGACCTAAACCTAGTTCCATGACACACGAATTCAACCAATTTTAACTTGTGACTGACGTAGAAGCAGGCCAGCTGGAAACAACTCTATTTTACTTGAGATCTTTTTGCGTTGTGGACCATTGGCGTGCCCGTTCGGCGAGACCAATTTTTGCTCTATCGTGTCCATACGGCGCAAGGAGAGTCACATCGCAGTTTGAAAGCGGGTGGATTCGTGCTTTCCTTTCATCAAACCAGACGCTGGTCATCCGCGCTCAGCCTAATAAAGCGCAGACTCCTTCCCCGGGGTCGCGCGAAGATAATGTGCAGAGTTCTGTCGCTATCCGAGACGTAAATAGCATAAGTCAAGTGATCATCGTGTTGCAAAACTGGACGGAGCAGAGCAGTGGGCGGGAGAGAAAATAGCAAACGTGCTCTGTGGTTTGCAGCAAGAGGAATTTCCTAGTGAGAAGATTAACGCGCAATGCGTTCGGTTCACGATATCGACGGCGTTGTAAGAGTCACTGCAGCGTATGCAGGATTTCGATAAAGTACAAGTCTTTACTGAAATACTGCGGCGCAAAATGTCTTGTACGGCGATGCAACAATACTGCATTCTAATAACCTACTTATTCTTACGTGTCTATCTCATTTTCTTTTCGTCGCCTTTTAGTCACATGCCTGTTCGTACCTATAAAAAATCGATGAGGTATGAGCTCGTGTTGCCGGTGACACACTTTGCTGCCTCTTTGGAATACGTCCGTAATGCGCTTACGTTCCAGTCCGGGCTACCTAGCGGCTGCGATTCTGGTGATACGGGGACTGAGTCCCTGGGTAATGTGGAGATCCTCAAAGGAATACCTCATACACCGCGCCGGTCCGCTCCCTGATGCGACAGGCCCTCTGACCGGAGCATCTGGCAGCGGATCGATGCAGGGGCTTCACCTGACGCAGGAAGATCCCTTACCGGTGCAGGGAGTCCAATAATTGGCGCCGGGACACCAAATCAGATCACCGACCCCTGATTGAAACGGTGCGGAGGGCCCCTCGTTCGGTACTGGGGCCTCTGACTAACACAGTCCTTCCACTGTCTCATTGAGAGTGTAAACCCTTGTCGTGTCATTAATCATATCTCCGTTCACTGTCAAGAGGGCCCCACCAACGCAGGAGGCCCTGTGACATTTGCTGTCCCGTCCCTGTCCCTGTTCAGCAAATGTTTCCCTGGCCGACTTGGAAGGCCACTGTCGACACAGGGCCCCCTGTTAGCCACTGTGGGCTGACCCCGACCAGCACAGGGGCCCTTCACTGTCTCAGAGGCGTCGGCCAATGCAAGAGGTTTTCTGATTGGCATTTGCAGATCCCGACCTGGTTCCTGCGTGGGAAAGTACCCCAGGACACAGATCGGCACGAAACCGGCTGCTTACTGCTCAGAATTGTGGTTTCAGTCAACTGACTGATCTGGAGACTCTCTCTGTCCCATGGGACCCCTATCGATGCAAGAGGATCTCAGACTGGTATTCTAGGAGCCGGCCTTCGCGCCGTGCTGCCTTCATATGGCCTCCCACCCGCCGTTCAGACCCTTCCATCGGACACTGGATCGCCGGCCCCGAGAGGCTCTCTGAACCCCTCGAGGCTTTCGGAACCTCAGAACCAAAGAGAGGTCTCATGTCCCTGCGCCTCCCCCGCTATGTGCGCCCATGATAGTATCGCTCTTGGAATTTGGTTCATTGTGGAAATCTCATTTTAGGATCGTTTATGGCGTCCCTGAAATTAGGCGTGCCTTGAAGATGAAGGTTATCATGCCCCTAAATAAAAGTGTTGGTATCCCTTCGCCGAAGGGGCCGGTCCAGGAACCGTCATGGTGAAGATAGCGAGGTTCTGGCGCCACTGCATTTTGTTGTCAATTAAGAAAGAAGGTGTATGAGTCGATCACATGACCCTTTCAAATTTAGCGTCTCCTTGTTATGATGCCTCGAACTAAATGTTTGCGTAACCCTTGCCAAATGGGTGAATCCAATATGTTGTCGAAGATGAGGCATGGACATCGCATTGTCCCTCAGAATTAGTTGCCTCTTGGAAATGTATGTTTTAGCCTCTTTGCGATGTCAATGGAATTTGGTGCCTCTTAAAAATAAAAATGATCGTGCCCCGCATGGATGGTTTTTGGCGCCCCTGTGTCGAACGAGCCGATCTAGAATGACTTCCGAACAACATGGCGTAGCCGCAGCAAACTTTGCCAAGCTATAGCAAATTAATTATCAGATTTTGGGATAGAAAAAATATATCTTGCAAGGGGACTGACCTATAGCATCTCAAAGTCAGGTTATAGCTGTCAGTGAAGGGCATTTCCAGAGAATCGTTGTATGTGATGCAACAACGGAGTGTTGGATCAGCTAAACCTGTGTGAGATAGTTCTGTAGGCAATAAACCAATGAAATTTCGAATTGCAACCTATCGCATTAGCCTTAAATCAGGTATGAAGGTCAGACCGAGATTAAAACTAGCCTGCTTTTTTTCTCGGGGGACTGGTTGCATGAGATAGTTTCTGGTGCTCAGTTCGAATTTATAAGTGACAGGGACCGCAGCAGACATGTTACATGGGCTGATTAACGGTGAAAGTAGGTTACTGACCTAAAATGACCCAGGTCCAGATTTCGTTTCAAGAAACACCGCCTAGCGTGACCTCTAGCGCTTATTCGAACGACAAAAAAACATTTTTGTAGGCATTTAGTCACCTTAAGCTTACAAAGATCAAAAAACGTCACTGACCTCTTTTAATTTTGCTTCGAACAGATACCCAGCTTTACGGCGGTTGCATGGGGAGGTATGGAGGCAGTTGGGACACCAATCTGAGGGTTAATTCTGTCTTGCCTTCTTTGACCTTAAGGTCATAACCCACGAACTTCAAACTTTGGCGCGAGTGAATCCACGTACACACCAGTTCACCCTGTGAATTTGGTGTTTCTAGCTATCCTAGTTTCTGAGATCTCAGGGGGTCAAATTAAACCCCACCCGAACAAAGGGTGTTTACCGGCCACCCCGACGCGTGTTAAGTGACTCACTTAGATTTAGTGCCTCTTGAAAATCAAGTCCATGGTAACCCGAAATGAAGGTTTCAGTGCCCCCCGGGCGCAAGTGGCCGACCCTGTATTACATTGAAGTGGGAGGCACAATATTGCTGTCGCCTGGAATTTGGAGCCCGCTAAGAATGCCGAATCGGGGCTCTTGGTGGTCACCTCTGAAATTGGGTGCCCCCGGAAAATAAAGGTTGCGTTGCCCGGAAAAAGGGGGTTTAGTGCCTCTTCGTCGAAGGGACACATCTAGGATTTTATTGGGGTGAAAGTCATAACAATTGTGGCACTATTTAATGTTGATCCCCTTTTAAAATGAGAGTGGTTGTGTCAATTTTTGGAACACAACACTTTGGAACACCACATTTTTGTGTCCCTGTTGTAACCCTTGAAAAGGCTCACTCGGATTCAGCGATTCTTAAAAAAATAGAGGATGTTTTGTCCCGAAACCAAGGCTCTGGTGACACCACCCCAAGGGGTCGGTCTGAGATTTCGTCAGGATGGGAGGCACAGCGCTGTTGTGCCCCTGGATTCGGTGTTCCTTGAAAATGAAGGTTTGTGGTCCACTGTGGTTCTCCTGGAACCTGGTACCACTCGAAAATGACAATTTGGGATAGTTCGTGTTGTCCCTGTAATTCGGTGCATCTTTAGAATAAAGGGTTTTCTGGGCCTGAAATTACGATTTTTGGTGACCACTCGTCATGAGATTTTGGTGCCACTTTGGCCAAAGAAGGAATTATGGCCTCCATGCCCCCTAGATCTGCCACTGATGCTGTAGAATACGCCTTCCGTTAAAAATCCTGCACCGCTGGCTAAAATAAATGTGGGTATACGTGTAAAAAGTAGACAAATCGAGCTAAAAAGCTCGCTAAATAATTCAGAGCACCAGATAACTCTAAGAAAAATCAGTTGATATATGGGAGTGATCAGGGCGTGATGCTCCGGGCGTTCTGTGGCGGAATGCCCCCGGGGCTGATAAGGCACTCACCAGGGGCAGGCAGGAGAAGATGGCGCCCGCGTTCTGCTCGGAGCGCTGCCCGCACAGCCTATGCCCTTAATTTCCCATGGTGACCGATCGTGAAAAGTGCCATGAAATTCTGCCGCGCCGTTCAAAAGACCATATCTGAGCCCTTTACTGCTACAACCATAGGCCATCTTATGCCGAGCTGTTGGCAGCCAGCCTTTCAATGGATGGCGCTGGGCGACTCCATTTATCTCGGGGCAGTCTCAGTTGCACAAGCTTTTTCGCCGCCCACAACGTTTAGCCTGCCAGCCCCAGCTCCCACCGCCAACCCCCAGCGGACCCATATCTCACCGAACGAGGTCTGCTGGGGGCAGCTCAATGACGGCCTCTGACACACGCCCACTACAGTCCCTGACAGCGAGACAATGTGCGCGGCCTGCCGGGAACGGCCTCTGGTGGACGGCCACGAAAATAACGGACGGGTTAGAATGTGCGAAGCGGCCTGGTGTAGACGCGGCCTGCGGGGACTGGACGCCTGGAGACAGACGCAACGGGGGCACGGGGATGGGTTCGTGAGTTGCAACACTCGCGTCATCGTGTCGCTTTAGGCTGCGGGCCATCTGCACGCGATAGAATAAATGCTACACCATAGACGTGCTAGGGAAAGGTAACCAATCAACGACAGAGATGCTCACCAAAAACGACGGCCACGGCTAAAGTCGAGATGCAAACAAAGCTCTAGAAACAGAGCCCAACTCACGGGGTAATAGATGAGCACGACCTGGTTGAGCAGTGTGGAGATGGCGTAGAACACGCCGACGTTCATGCCGTAAGTGACGAGCAGCAGAATGTAGTGCCGGTTCTTCAGCAGGCGCACGATGCTGAGAAGATAATGTTCGGGCTCGGCCTGGCGCAGCGCGGCCTGCGCCGGCGACGGCGGCAGCTTCGGCTCGTTCTGGAACACTGCGGGCCAGGCCGGGCCGGGTCGGGTTCCGGTCAGCACGAGATCACGACCACGGCGCCTGCCAGCCCAGGTCGGCCAGCTCCCCACAGACAAACTGCTGCTTATGCTCTTCGTAAGGCGTGCGGTGTACACGTACGGGTTAAATGCAAGTCAGTTTAGCTGAGTGCTTTGTCTGCCACGATATCAGTCCATTTGACCTGTCTTTGGAAACAGGAACTATGTGGCTCGCAGGCTCATACCGTATGTGAAAGGCGCGGTTGTGTCCTTTGGTGATTGCAAAGCTGGGTCAAGGCGCCGAGGGACCACTCCAGCGCTCCTTTACGCCACACATATAACTGGACGGGGCTCACAATTGGGGCTGGCGTATGCAAGGGCCCCGGTCCAAAGGGGCGGACACTCCAATGCCAGCCAGAGGGCCCTGCGCACAGATCGGAACGCCCTGAGTTCATCAGAGTATACATGCCGGCCAGGCATCACCCGTACTGCACAGCCGACTCCGTGCCGGTACGAACGTCAGACCCCACTTCCCGATCAGCTACAAAGCCGGCGTCTGCGATTTCCACTGGTCGCGGCCCCTGTACCTGTCATGCACCCACAGTGCCTGACAGGTGGTCCTATGTTCACAAAGGGCCTGAGCCGAACGGAGACAGTGTTTGATGAGGCCCGAAGAGGGGCCGGGGCGACCCAACGGATCCCACGATGAAGGGGCATGGGCAACGGAGATCATAACGGACCCGACGACCCCAACGAATCCGACTATCAAGAGAAATGAGCTCCCTGCCACAGGAAATCCTTCAAAAAAGGTGTCACAGAGTCCTCCAAGCCACCGAGAAAGAGCGACAACCAGAAAAATACATTAAAGATGGCGGCGACGGCCGTCTTGAACTCCGAAAACGATCAAAGTTGCACAACTAGCGCCTAATTTGAATCTCCTAGTTACATAGAACATATTTCCACGAAAAATTCGCGGTATTTGACATTGCAGGGTCTCATGTAGGAAGTATAAGGATGGCAACTCGACTATATCAGGGGCCCTTTCTCAACCCTGTGCCTTCTCCCCTCCTCGCCAAGGCTCTGGCTGCGCCCCTGTGAGCCACAGGTGAAGCGAACTTCCATCTAAAATATGGTGACATTCCCTAGCCACCCGGTACATCAAGAGCTTCGCTCCCTGAATTTCCCACCATTCGCACCGGATCTGAAGATATGAGCTGAAGACTGGAAGCTGCTAGGTGAAATTCGGGTGAAAATAGATTTCCCCTACGATTTAACTCTAAAAACCTGTAAGCAACGTTGCTAAAGGTCGGCACGACGAAAAAGGGAGAACATCACCCTACAGCGCGTGTTTGGCGCTGTACATATATGTTGTTGTCTAGTGGTCCGAAAGCTATGCGGCGGTCATATGTTAAGCGCAAGCAATGCTCACGACCTTATAAGAGTTGCTTGAGGGCATCGGGTCTAATCTTGAATCTGACGACCAAGCGGGCCGTTATTACACAACAGCGACTGGCATGTATCAGTCAAGAGCTTTCCTCTTGAATTGAACTCAGGTGCCTACCTTCGACGGTAATAAAGCTGTAACTGCGGCAAAACTTCAGTTTTATCGTTTGCATGGTCAAACAAAAGAAAATGGCGCGGCAATTCAATTTCGGCTTCTGTCATCAGCACCTGCATGGCGTGGGGTCAGGTGGGGGCCCACGGGTCCGACGGCTGCTTTCAATACGGCCAAAACAGCCACTTGCCTCCTCCGCTATGTTTCCGGACTTATCGCATATTTTTTGAGAGTCGATCCATGCAGGATTTGATCCCGGATCCACGCGGTCGTGGCGTGAAGCCCTCCCCGCTGGTCCGCACTTCGCCCTGGCGGCGCGCAGGTTGTGAGCGGTGCGGCGCGGCGTCACGCGGCGATCGCATGGCGTGATGTTTGGTACCAGCGTCCAATGCTGATTGGACGCGCCCCAGGGGGCATGCAGGGTCCAAAGTCACCGACTCCAGATCAGGGAGTGCGGGCTCGCGAACGGATGCCACCGTGCAGCACGGCTGCACATCCGGACCGGACAGCTCATACTGGGAAGGCAGCACGCCGTCTTGCGAGCTCAGGGGCGCAGCCAGTCTTAGCAAGGGGGATGGGGACCCCGGGGTGACAAAGGCCCCCTGCTGATGAAAACCCCTCCCCCCAAAATACAATACCAAAGTTGGCTCACTTGGTTTCGATGAAGCCCAATTCACAGTTCTTCAGAGATATTGAGCGGCCCCATAAATTTGGACGTGGATCATTAATTGAAATGAAGTAAGCATTTTGTAGTGATATGGTCAAACCATGTTTGCCTGGGGATATCCAATCTTTCTTCAACATCGACCAGTGAAAAGCGTTTTGAGCAAAGGCAAAAACTTTGATACTCAGCATTGCTGTTTCTACAGGTCGTGCGGCGACGGGCGACGGCTCGCAGACCCCTGACAGGAATTTTTACCACTTTTGCTGCCATCTGTCCAGGAGTTTACAAATTACCCCGTGTGATCACAGCTTGCTACAGCAGAGCTCCGGACCGTGACTCTCTCCGCCATGACCGTTATTTCCATGTATTCATTACGAATATCTATGACTTAATTTTCGATTCAAGCCAACGGGCTTGCTGTTGTGCAGTAAAAAAATGTCATGGCGACAAATTCACACCAGAAATGTGACAAGAGTGCTCACGAGTAGACGCCATTATCCGTGCCAGGTTGGTAAAGCGTGCAGACATGAACACGGCCCGGCTCCGGGAAACCACAACAGTCGGTGGCAGGCGGTGCCACGACGAGGCCGCACGGGGCCACTACGCCCTCTGCGCCAGTCTAGCAGTCTTTCGCCAAGTCTCTCCGTAGGCAGGAAGGCTGGCAGCTGCAAACCGTCGCGGCCACCGACGTCGGGACGCGCTGGCGAACAAAGGTGCGGGGGGAGGGCAGCGACCGGACCGCCACCGCGGCGCGGGCAAGAACGAGGGAGCCGACCTCCAACTTGGAGGGCCTGTGGAAGACCCATTCTGATATGTTAAGGGACCATTCTGAGCCATAAAGATATTATGTAAACCTAGAATGTCCACTCTGACCTGTGCAGGACTCATTCTGGCCTAACATCCTGGGTTCCGTCCCTCTCCCTGTTGAGCAAGGAGCCCTAGTCCTGCGGGCCAGTCTGCCCCCTAACACAACCTCCGACCAGTCCCTCAGGCCCTTCAGTCTGTTCAATGGGGCTTTTGGTCGTCGGCCCCAAGGGTCCTGCAGTCCCCGCGCGATCTAAGGGGTGTTGGTGGGGGAGGGAGTGGGTGGGAGTCGTGTACCCCCGCGTCCTCCCTGCGCATGCCCCTGAGTGAGCTCCCGCATGCTTACAGATGCTGGCATAGCCCCGCTGACCCCGCTCCTGCGGAGATTGATGTGAGCTGTATTGTTCACAAGTGTTAAAATAAGAGGCTTTTCCAAACAGGTCAAAGCTATCGATTTAGAAGGGCAGTTGACGTATATGGGCATGGCAAGCATTTGATGCACATATGCTGTAACTTGCATTTTCCCAGATGAACTGGTGTTTATCAACTCCGAGCACCAACAGATCGAGAACTGGAGCCATCAACGAGTCTGTTTATTCATGTACTGCTGACCCCTAGTCAATATCTGAAGTGACCAGCACCGTTCTGGAATCGAACATGACATCACTTCATCAAAATCAAAGCCCGCACTTTACGAATGGACTCAACACCACCTTAAGCAATACTGTTTGGAATGAAGGACTGAGCGGCATGATACGCAGGGGAGGGGGGGGGGGGGGCAGCGGCGCGGGAGGGAGGCACGGACTGACGCCTCCCTCCTTCAGCTTGATGTATGGCCTTGCGAATTAACTCACAGGAATTGGGCTTACCGCAAAACGTTATGGAGTGAACGATGTAGTAAGTTACGGCGTACTGTTCTGACTCATTCAGCAGCATTCTTTTTGCTAGGAGTTTTCTTTGACGCTATGACAACAAGCCAAACGGCACCTGGAGATGCGTGAAGGTGGACACTAACATTAAATTATCTGAGCCTTAACCTTGTTTGGAGGTCCACGATAAATGAAGCTGCCAATGTCGTAATACCCATAGAACGTGTGCGGGGATGGGTTTTGGGCATACTTTCGCTTGCCGTTGATCATATCCCGGGGCGTAAACATAGTTTTAAACGTTGTGACCGAAGAAGGTCAGCGGCCATGACAGATTGCAGCGTGTAAAGCACACGCGGCAGCGTGGTGAATTACTATGCGAGTCTCAGACAAGCGTCATGCTTGGCGTCCCCGTCTTATACGGACTTGTGACAACAGTGCGCATATAGCCCATCGTGATCGACGGCACATAAGAGGTCGTGTTCCAAGCGAACGTCAGAATGTATCTTTTATAGCAGGTACACATACTGGTAGCCAAAAGGTGCTGGTGAACCTACTACGGTGCACGGTCTAAATAAATGTGCAAACGTGTGCAGAAGTGCACGGAACGGTGTGTGAACATGGCCAACAAAAGAGCATGCTGGCTCGGGCGCACAATACTTACCGGCAGATGCAGTAGCTAGCAAAATGTAGCACACACAGATATCAAGTTCGAAACACATAAAAGCGAAACACTTACGCAGACTACGTTACGGGACCTATGGGAGATAAGGCGCCAGCGAGTTACACGCACGAATTGACGGCGTGTTGTGCTGACAAACACCACGATATAACAGCCCGGAGAAATAGCACGGAAACGGCTCACTCTTGAGCAGGGCCCGTGTACTTAAAGAATCACGCAGTCAGACGATGGATTTCATAGAGGCTTTACCTGGGTCTCGGATGAATCTGGTGCCTGGTTCAGGGAAAATGAAACCAATTTACAATCGTTGGCGTCGAAGACACTCTTACAGGGTCACGCATATCCCCAAAACAGCAAGTCGCGACATTGCACGCTTTGTGACGGTGACAGCGAGCACATGAGCAAGCCCTGTTAAAGGTGTGCATGTTCTACAG